TCAACTCGAACTCCTCTGTCTTCCCTTCGGCAGGTAGGGGATATTGGATACACAAAGGTGCTGCATTACCCAATCCCGAAGCCGCAAGCTGCTTGAGTGTCCGAGTGTCCACGGCCATGACTTGTGGTTCCTCAAAAATCCCTGCCGTGGGTTCCTCCTCCTCCTCTAGGACTTGTTCCTCGAGGTCAGGTTCTGAACTTTGTGGATTTGGTTCGTGTTGCTTCCTCTTCCGTCTCAAAGTTCTCTCAAAATTGCTGTCAAAGTCCGAAATATGCTCACGAATCGGTTGAGAACTCCGAGTCATGCACTAGTACCTAAAACAAGGAAAACAAAACAAGGTCAGAATTCTTAACAAAAACTAAATTAAACAGAAAGTAACAATCCAAGGGATTAGCAAAGTTGCTAATCCCCGGCAACGGCGCCAAAAATTTGATGCTAACTAATTAAGCACACAAATTAAAACCCTCTTGTGACAATTGTAGTAAAGATGCAAGTAGGGATCGTTCTAGACCGGGGATTAGGAGGGATTACTAATTCACTTGGAAACTGACTCAAAAACGTAAAACAAACGTTAAAACACTAAACTAGACTCAAAGAATGCCAAACTAAATAATAAAACACTAAAACAAATCAAAAGACTCAAAGAATACAAAACACTTATAAACACAAACTAAGACACGTTCTAACTAAATTGGACACTAAAGTAAAGGGGGATTGAGGTTTTGACGAAATTAAACTAAATGCAAAGATTGAAATTAAAAGGCAGAATATAAATATGAATGTGATGAAAATATGGATGAATGCTAGCTAGAAGGTTCTTCTCCACACATGTTACACTTGCATACCATTTGATTTTCAGTTGGTCTTTCGATGAATTATGAAACTCAACACCCCGGGTTAATTAGGTCCGCTTAAATTAACCGTCAAGTTTTCCTTAAGTTAATGAATTGGATGGGTTAGCGCAACGCAATTCAAAACATTCTCCAAAAGTCCTTTACGTGAAAAGCACAATAAAGATACAATCAAAGATCATTAAGCATCATGAAAACTATAAGTGTTGACGAGGCATTCGTTACTATGATGAGCATGAAACTAGTGCCAAGAATTCATTTAACGCGATTGTTTATAAGCAACCTCCACTACTTGTGAATATAAATTCATAACTATTAGGTGAAACTCACTTATATTCTAGCATCATATTCATGCATGAAAATTAAGCGTGCACTCTCAATACACATACATAAATAAGTTATCGATCAAGCAGTTAAACAAATTGACTTCACCATTCATGAAATTCCAACCAAAAGTAATCAAATCATATTGCAAGCATAAACATGGTTTCGAATCACCCCCTAGCTAAATAGGGGTTTAGCCCCTCATGTTCACAACAAGAAAAATAAAATTGAATTTAAACATAAAGAACAAAGGATGGATTACACCTAGAACGCTCAACGAATCCACTTGAATTTCTGCGCGTCTAAGTCCTCTTTCCTCTTCTCCTTGATGCGGCAGTGAGGTTAAATGGATGATTTGGATGTTATTTTGGGTTGGGGATGGATTTAAGGAGGTTGGGTGGTGCGGCAAGGTTATGGGGTGGTGTAGGAAGGTGGAGGAAGGCTGCGGCAAGATGGGGGAAAGCTGGAATGAATGGGAAAGCTGCGGCAAGGTTTGTGCTTTTTAGGTCTTTAGGTGGCTGGTGGGAGTCACAGCTTATGGGAGAAAACTGGGTGAATATTAGGATAAAAAATCATGGAATGCACCGCAAAGGGAATAAAATAAATGGGATGGTGGCTGCCTAAATTAGGGTGAATGATAGAATGATGAGTGAGTGGAGTTGCGGCTTAGGAATTAAATGGGATAATGGGATGGTGGCTGCCTAAATTAGGGTGAATGATAGAATGATGAGTGAGTGGAGTTGCGGCTTAGGAATTAAATGGGATAATGGGATGGTGGCTGCACGGTTTGGAATCCTTTTTTAGTTTATTAGGGTCAATGGTAAATGGGGGGGGGGGCCACAGATTAAAGGGAGAAAGTGGGTGAAGGTGGCTGCGGCAATTAGGTTTTTTGGAAGAGAAATCTTGCGGCTTAGGGAGGAAGACAAAAAAAATATGGAATAAAATGATGGTGGCCGAATGAATTAGGGTGGAAAAATGTGAATACTCAAAAGTGACGGCTAAAGAGTGAATTAGGAGAGAATGGTCCAAAATTGCGGCTGCAAGGTAATTAGGGTGATTAGGGTTTAGGTTTAGGGTTTAATGCATGAAATGAGACAAAACTACCCCCCCCCTTGCACGGCAAGGGAAGGGAGTTGGGCTAGAGGCACGGCAAGGAGGTTTAAAGTGGCTAGGGCCATCGTTTTGTGTCCTAAAATGCATACAAGGCCGTCAAAGTGGCTAGAAAATACGGACGTTTAAGTTTAGGAAAGGTTACCAAAACGGGAAACTTAGGGTTAACTTTCCTATATCAAATAGGAAACCTTGTTTGAGTAGGATTCCTCGTTTTGGTAAGAATTCATCGTTGGAGTAGGAATTTGTCGTTTCTTCAAGTCTTCAACTCATTCATTCCTCTTTCGCTCCAAAAGACTCCAATTTGCATCTTCTTGCACACTTTGGCCTTATAATCTGAAAATACACAAAAGTAGCCTTAAACACTAAAATAGCTAAGTAAACACAACATAAATGCACGAGAACAAGCTAATTAAGTCGCATGAATATGCTCCTATCAATCACTACCAACAACTCCCCTCCGTAAAAAGAAGAAACTGGGCATGAAAATTGAAAAGGAAGTAAAAGGAGATTAATATACAATGAAGATATCTCTAATTAATCAGTTGCATATGCGTCTTCTTCAACTGATTATTGTCCCTCGTTTTGAATTTTTTAGGACCATAGCTGAATAGAGCATAGCAGGACAAGAGAATTGAAGAATTGGCAGCTGAGTTGGAAATTTGATGAAGTCGGCATCAATGTAAAGCATATATATCAAGAAAAGGTAGTCACCGTTTTGAAAGATATGGAAGAAGAAAAGGTAAAGATATCAGTAAAAGTTGAGAATGTATGGGTAAATCTAACAAGTTAGAATCCAACCTTAGATTCATCATGTATACTAGAAAAACAGATGCAAGAGAGAGTTGGCTTTCTTTCACCATTACATGCAAGCATCATGTTTAGTTGTTGGGTATTGATAGAATATGGTAGGTAGGAGGTATATTGGAACATGATCCTTTTGTTTTGTTTTGTTTTCCTTTCCCTATAATCGACTGGTAGTTATAATGTTAAATTAAATATGTAGAGTTGTAACAGTAGATAGGGTTTGTTTGTGTAGGGAAGTGTTTCCTCACACCTGCTTGCCTTTTTTCTCCTTGTGCACACTCTTGTTTATCTCTATTATTAAATTGACTAAATCACCAGTACAATCAATGGACATACATAAATATGGGTGTGTCCAAAGAGAAAATAGGTGTGTAAAAAGCAGTTCCGTTGTCAACAAAAGAGTTCGTCAAAAGCGAAAATAGGTGTGTCGAAAGAGAAAATATTGAGCTTGATGGAGTTTTAGTGGATTTCCATAGAGTTCGTGTGGTTTCGTGTGGCATTGTGAAATAAAGTGTATTCTCTCAAAATGGGCAATACGCAGATCAAAGTGGTTATCATTGGGCAATGTCAAAGCATGCTAGTGACCCTCATTGTGTTAGCCCTCACCAATCCCACCATGTGGATCCGGGACTATGGAAGTTGATGTGGAGTATGAAGGCAGTACCAAAAATCAACAACTTTCTATGGAGAGCTATTTCAAATGTCGTTCCTACAAAACACAACCTTTTCTCTCGTCACATTTGCATGGATCCTAGATGTTCCTTTTGTGGAACAGAGGATGAATTTTAGAACATATTCTCGTTAAGTGCTTGTGGCTGGTGCACCATGTGTGGTGCGACTCTCACTTATGTTATCGCCCTAATAATCAAGCAATTACCTCTCTTGATCCCTGGCTTCTAAGCATGGCTACGATGGGATCTACATATTAGGGGTGATGTGTTGGGAAATTTGGAAAGAATGATGTCATGCAGTTTTCAAGATGTTGGCTCCTAACCCTATCTCCGTCATAGCTAGGTGCAACAATCTGTACATTGAGATAACAAATATTTGCATAGGCTTCCATCAATTGGTAGTCAAGGGGATCATTTTAATCATAGGTGAATCCTTCCAATGGACATGAACGTAAAGGTTAGCGTTAGTGAGGCTTGGAACTCTTCTACAATGGAAGCGAGTGGGAGTTGTTATTTGAAACTCTAGAGGTGAACTCATTTGCGGTGAGTACAGTTTCTTGAAGAGGGCTTTAGTTGAAGAGGTTGAAGTTGAAGCAGTGTTAACAGTGACGAAACTTGCTTCAACAAAAAACTTCCATCATTATTACAATCGAGGGTGATTCTAAGGTGGTTGTAGAGGCCATCAATAGTCCTTATCTTAGCAAGGTATGGAGAATTTACCCCATCAAGTAGCTCATTTGCTTGCTGCACTTGCCAACTCGAGGGTAAGACACTTCTAATGGGTTTCAACGCCCCCTCCCTCCTTGGTTCTGGTACTTTCACGTGATGGACTCCCTTATCCTCCGTCATTGGTGGTATGAGGATGGCTACTCAAGTACGCCAAAAAGGACTAAGAGATATCAAGGTGTTTTCTAATGAAGATGTCATATATGACATGATAGTTGAGTCATTTGACTCCTAACTGTCATTTTCTAGAGCAAACAAAGATGAAGTTAACATCTAATCTAACAAAACTATCGTTTAACAAAAGTGCGTGTATATATATTTAATTATTTAATTATTTTGGAACATTTCATTATCATATGCTCTCCTTTAATTTGTTCCAATTTTATCGTCAATGTATTAGTGAAAATTTTCCTCCTTTCCCGCCAGGCGCTGGGGGAGGCTACAATCACCAACGCTGTCAAGGTAAACCTCCTATTAGGGATTGCCACGTCAACAAAAAATGAGACCGCAGGCGCCGCACCGGGCGTCTCCGTATTTAAAAGGATTGTTTCTAGGTTTTCTCTTTTAATTTGTCAGCAGGGTTTAGGGGAGAAGGAGGAGCAAGCAATCCGGACCCCTTTTTCTCTAGGGCTGTAGATATCAATCTCTCCCAAACAAAATGGCTTTCTGGGGTCAGTTTCTCTTCCCTTCTAAATTGAAAATTATCAACGATGACCAACTGTTTGAATTTACTTATTTGGGTTTTCTGTTTAAAAATGAATGCAATTTTATATTTTAGTAGTTAAGTTTTGAAGTTTTCGTTATATCTTCTGCTTGGCTTTTCGGAGCAATCAAGTGGAGGTCGACTGAGTTGTTATTCTCAAGTGTGTTGTTTATTCATTGATTATTACAGGAGTCGAAGTGAAACCCGGAAATCCTTTCACTCACATATTTGATGGCTTGAAGGGACGCCTTCACGTTTCAATGGTAATGCTTCTTATCACAACGACCCCTTATACTTCTTTGCTTTTTGAATCTTCTTTTTTATTAATTTTTTAAGCGTGGAATTTAGCCAAAATGGGCATTGCTGTGAGACCTACAATTTATAGTTTTTTTTTCTCTGAAAGGTTTAGTTTTTCTGCTTTTGGTTGACTGTATTTATAATTTACTTCCGCTTTTACGCATGTGAAAATTGAATATGGTCTAATATTGAGTTATCTGAACATGGTTTCTAATGTTTTGATGTGTTCTGATATTTAGTTCCGACTTAATGTTTAGATCAGTAACGTATGTCGTATTTATAATTTTATATACACAGGCCACACTGGGGAATGGGACTGCGACGAAAAAAAGCACACTTCAGTGTAATGTGGGAAACAAGAGTCCTGTATATCTATGCTCCTTGTTTCCTGAGAAGGCTGAGTCATTGCAAATAAATGTGGAGTTTGAAGAGTGTGAGGAAGTCATCTTCTCAGTTCTTGGCCCTCGGAGTGTTCACCTATCTGGCCACTATCTTCCTCGTCATCAACATCACAATTTTGATGATGATAATTCGTATCCTTTTGTTTAGTGGGATTATTGTTTAGTCCATCATCTTTTCTTCCGTGCTTAATACTTTTGGTCAAATTTCTCTGTTTTTACTGCTTCACTACCTGTCTAATTAGTTAATGGGAAAGGAGAGAAAAAAACTGTAGGACACTTTTTTTTTTTTCCTTCTTCTTTTGCAAAAAAATGGGAACCCAAGAGACTAAGAGACTAGTTTCTTTTTGGGGGGATACTTTCTATCCAAGATCAAAGCTACACAACCCTTTTGGTTATGGACATTTTTCATCGTTTGTTTCATGTGAGGTTATCTTTAGTTTCCCTTTACTATGATTTCAAGAGAATCTTATGGGGAAGATATTGCTAATTCCGAAACCAAGATGTCTGTTGATAGTGAAGAAGACAAGTATGAAGATAGTTTTATTAATGACGAGGACCCAAAAGTCTTCTCAGCTTCTCCTGTTCTTGATAGTGAAGGTACGGCTACCAAATATATGCTTTAAATTTTTCTCTCACAAAATGTAGTATACATGATTTGAAAGTTTGGTCATTAGCAGTAGCTCCTGATACAGGAGTCAGCTTAAAATAAATAAAGCCCAGTCAAGTACAAGCTCCTATAATGAAGAGTCCTAGTCTTTTTTTTTTTTTTTTTTTTTTTTTACGTAACTTAAAGCATCGTTTTGGTGCTTGTTGTAGACAACCTGCTCATGTTCATCTACTTCGTGTTCAGTAGTGTATGACACCAGTTTTTTGGTGTCTGCATCACATTTGTTCAGTTTTTTGGCTTGCATCTTTAGTTCATATCAAGTTAATGTCCTCTTGAAGATGAATCATTGGTGAATTTTTGCAATATTATTCTGAGATATATCTATCTGGTATGTAGAGGAGCTTTTGGATGAGCATAAACCTCATAATGGCAAGGGCCATCGAAGACGACTTCGGAAGATGTACCAAGTGAGTGAGTCGGAAGTGGAGGGTGAAGATGATGACAGATGCCTAACTTCCTCTTTGTACAAGACAAAATCCGGTACTAGAAACACAACAGAGGAAGTTGAAGAAAAAGTTGACAAGAGAGCCGTAGATACCACTACTAGCAATGAAACAGAGGATGGTGTCTTTAATGCTACTGAAACAATGAATGATGCTGATAATGTGGATGTAGATGGTCAGTTGAAAAGGTATTTGTCCTGCTTAATAAGACCATGGAAGCTTGTTAAAAAGATTGATCTCTTCCCATCAGTTGAATATATTTTCATTGTACTTTTACCAAATTGAGTTATTGATACTTGTTTGTCATCTTGATTGCCAAATTGGAATGCAGGCGATTTGACCTGCCAGTAGATACCTTCCTACCTTCTTCTGAAGAAGGCCTTGAAATTGGTGGAACACCAAAGAAAAATAGGAAAGAACGGCTGGATGATAAAGCACTTGAATATGGTTTTTGTGAAAAAGAGGACAAAGCCCAAATTGTTGAAATCAAGGTTGAAAGTAGGACCCAAAATTTGTGTGTGGAGGATGGACAAGAACAGAGGGTGGCCAATCATATGTGAGTTCTTTTTGCTTCATTTGTCTTGAATAAATACATTCTGAATCATGAATCTCAAGTGTGCATACTATTGTTTAAAGTCAGAGAATTTACAGACAATGATGTTTGTTGGTTTTGATTTTCGTTATATTATTGGTGTGCTCAAGCAGCGCACTTGAAGGGCCAGATGATTTTTCAAGGCATTCAACAGAGGTCAACCTTGAAAATTGTGGAAAACTGAAGAAAAAAAGGAAAGAGCGGCCAGAGGATACAGCACTTAAAGCTGGTATCCTTGAAAAGGAGGATGAAAAAGCCCAGAAAGATGACACCAGAGCCAAAAATAGGATCCAAAATTTGTGTGTGGAGGATGGACAAGAACAGATGGTGGCCAACCATATGTGAGTTCTTTTTGCTTCCTTTGTCCCGTATAATTACATTCTCACCTCATGATACTTAAGTGTGCATACTATTGTTTAAAGTTGGACAATTTACAGACAATAATGTTTGTTGGTTTTTATTTTTGCTATATTATTGGTGTGCTCAAGCCGTGCACCTGAAGGGCCAGATGATTTCCCAAAGCCTTCAACAGAGGTCAACCTTGAAAATGGTGGAAAGCTGAAGAAAAAATGGAAAGAACGGCCGAAGGATAAAGCATTTGAAAAGGTGGACGAAGCCCAGAAAGATGACACTAGAGCCCAAATACAGACCCAAATTTTGTGCGTTGTAGACCGACAAGAACAGAAGGTGGCCAAACATATGTGAGTTCTTTTGCCTCGAATAAATACATTCTCAATCATGATACTTGAGTGTGCATATTATTTTTATGGATGGAGAATTTACTGACAATGATGTTTATTGGTTTTGATTTTTGTTTTATTATTGATGTACTCAAGCAGTGTACTTGAGGGTCCAGATGATTTGTCAAAGCCCACAGTAGAGGTCAACCTTGAAAATGGTGAAAGGCCAAAGAAGAAAAGGAAGAAGCGTGAGGAGGGGAAAATATTGGAGATTGTCTGCACTAACCTTGATGATGTTGTTAAAGAGGATAAAGGGCAGCAGGATGAGGCAAAGGGTGGCATCTGCCCAGATCTACCTGTGAGGAGTGAGCAAAATCAGCAGTCAGCCAAGGATGGGTGAGTTATTTTTACCTCAGGTTTGTCTCCGTGTCACAAGATATACTTTTTGCCCCCGTCACTCCACCTCGGTCTTGGGAATAGCATGAAAGGACATGTCCATTGAAATGGAGTGTAAGCTTTAGTAAGCGGTTCCATTGATCAAATGTATTGTCTATTATTATCTTCTATCGGGAAGTTAAAAATTTCTCTCCCTAACGTAATTCCAATATCTATGCGATTTTTAGGCCATGTCTGGTTGTGTGCGACTTTATTATAGTTCCCTTGATTGAGTATAAAATCTGTCTGTCCATTTTTACAGCAATTCTGGCCATGATTCTGGTAGATTTGTTGATGGTCAATCTGATGAAAAGAAAGTTAAAAAGAAGAAGAAGAAAAGTAAAACTGAAGCACATGAGGTAGCTGCGAACACAGATGTGCCTCTCTTGTCAGCAGAAGATAATGTGAATGCCAAGTCATCTCAAGTTAAGACCTTCCCAAGTGGATTAAGTATTGAGGAGTTAGAAGCTGGAAAACCGGATGGCAAAGTTGCCACATCGGGGAAAAAGGCTAGTCTTTCTGAATTTGTATTCGATCTATTTGATATTGATGCTTTTCTAAAATAAATATTTGGATGTAACCCTCCAATGGATAATGGTAGCTTAGCTGAATTATTCTTACTTTGAAACTTTCTTCTAGAGCAAGTTAAAGTAAAAGATTAATGGAGCTATGTTGATTGTAGTAGTTTCTGTTTCAGATAAGTGTTCACTATGTAGGCAAGTTGAAAGAGAATGGCAAGGTAATCGACTCCACTGACGGCAGTGCTCCTTACAGGTTTCGCTTAGGTATCACCAAATGAGATAAACTAATACTTTTACCAAAACATTGTTTCTGCTTTTGTATTTACATTTGTTGCTTCTTGCAGGCAAAGGAGAAGTTATAGATGGTTGGGATGTTGGCATTGATGGTAATGGCTACTAAAATTTGATCTATATTTTATAAATGAGTTTTTGACGTTTTGATTATATTGCTTTTGTTATTATTTCAAGACTCTTGTGGTGTATGTGCATGATTCTCAGGTATGCGAGTTGGTGAAAAAAGAAGACTTGTTATACCCCCGTCATTGGCGTATGTTATTAAAATTTAGCTAACCGATTTCCTTCTCTGCTTTTTCTTTTTCGGTTTCTGACTTGCTGTACATGCTTGCAGCTATGGGAGTAGAGGAGATGGTGCAGGTATACCACCAAACTCATGGCTGGAATATGATGTTGAATTAGTGAAAGCTCATTAAGCGATCAATTCTACAGCGTTTGGTACCGGCCTCTGTATTTTGTTTGCGCATATCGTCTTTTTGAGATTTTTCTCCCCTTCTCATCGGTACGAGAGGAAAAAAAATGAGGGAGTAACAACAGGGTTGGGTATAGTTTTCAAATGTATGGGAACAGCCTCGAGATTTTGCAATAGAAAGCTGGCTTTTGGGATGATTCTGTAAACGTTTTGCTCTGGTCTAATCAAAGTTGTAATTTCCATTTACCCACGTGTTTGTTTTCATAAAGCACCGGATTTATGCAAAAGTTTTGCACAAGAAAAAGAAAGTAATATTCTCAAATGGCGCTAGAATTGCAGTGTTAAGTCTTCTCAAAGTGTACTGATCGGATCACCCGAACTCGGATTGATTGACTTGTCCGGTCGACCCCCAACTGAAGTTTTAATCACCAGCGGGGTTAGTAAGATCCAACATGGGGAGGCAAATAACTATTATTTAAATGCTTAAAGGGGTAATTGGCTGAAATACGAGTTCAAGGTGTCGAATTGGCAAGCTGATACAAGTTTAGGGAATAAATCGACCAAAAAAAATTATATTACAAAACGATCTTCAACTGATCTTTCAAGGCATTAATCATACAAATTATAATTTATACCAAGTATAATTTTGGTATGAGAATTATTAGACCAAATACGAGAGTGATTGTGTTGAAATGTGTAAGGCTATTATAACGTTGTGTTGCTGTATCCATCGACAAGTTGGAAAACTAAAATTAGAGGCTTTTCTCCAGTGCAAATCTAAATTACACATTTGAACAAGAGTACATCCCCTTGAACAAGCGAAATCTAATGGCTCTTGTAGGAATGCACAGTGCACTTTTGACGTGCATTGGGGAAATTTCACTAAAATCAAGCGAGCGGAGCGGAAGATTCTTTTGTGTTTGATGGGCCGCCGATTGGGTTTTGTGGTGTAGAGAGTCCAAATTGGCAGGACTCTGGAGGAAAACCCAGAAAGGTTTCGTGCCTCGGAAAATTTGAATTTCAAAAAGAGTTGCCCGTTGAGCAAACCGATATCAAATTTCCGTCAATACCCCTCCCTTTAACGGGTATATAACTTAGATGCTCTGCCCTCCCCTTTTGTCATTTGAAGTATTTGAAATTTTGAAATCAGCAACCAGCAAATCAGGAATCCAGAGAGACAAAGAAGAGAAAGAGAGAGAGAGAAATGGAGATGATCGGAGGAGAGGCGAATAAAGGAGCGACGGCGATGGAGGCGTTCGAGAAGCTTGAGAAGGTGGGAGAAGGGACGTACGGGAAGGTGTACAGAGCGAGAGAGAAGGCGACTGGGAAGATTGTCGCCCTCAAGAAGACTCGCCTCCACGAGGACGAGGAAGGCGTCCCTCCCACCACTCTCCGCGAGGTCTCCATTCTCCGCATGCTCTCCCGAGACCCCCACATCGTCAAGTTCGTTTCCTTTCTTCTTCTTCTTCTCATCTGTCTGTCTCTCTCTCTCTCTCTCTCTCTCTAACTTTCTTTCTTTAATTCTACAAATTAGGGTTTGATTTCGTTCTTGTATTTACGGAAATGAAATCTTCAATTGATTGATTTGGGTTTTCTTCTTTTTCTGTAAATCCATTGATTTGGTCGGTAAATTGTGAATTAACGAAACCCTAAACCCCAATTCTGAAATAGGTTGATGGATGTGAAACAAGGGCAGAACAAGGAAGGAAAGACTGTACTCTACTTGGTGTTTGAGTACATGGACACTGATCTCAAGAAATTCATCCGCACCTTCCGTCAATCTGGAGAGCACATTCCCTCCCCCATCGTTAAAGTCTGCTCTCTAATTTGTTTGTCCCCCAAATGTTTATTCCCAATCAAATTAATCACACATGGAATTGTGTAATTGAAATGGTGATTTTCTGATGATGCAGAGCCTGATGTTCCAACTGTGCAAAGGTGTTGCCTTTTTCCATGGTCATGGAATTTTGCACAGGTGGCCTTTTGTCAATTAACTTACAAACGACATGCTGCTTCTCTCTCTTTTCTTTGCGCTTTGTTTCTCCCTTCGAGTTTTCTTTTAATTTGGGCTGATTTGTTTTACTTCCATTTATGCAGGGATCTTAAGCCTCACAATCTCCTGATGGACCGTGAGACTATGATGCTTAAAATTGCAGATCTTGGACTTGCTAGAGCTTTCACTGTGCCACTCAAGAAGTATACTCATGAGGTAGTTAATGCATTCACTTTTGGTTACGAGTTATTTTGTTGCTTTTGACAGTAGCTAAGGAATTTGTGCAATTACGACTGCAGATATTGACCCTTTGGTATAGGGCTCCTGAAGTCCTTCTGGGAGCTACACACTACTCAACTGCAGTGGATATTTGGTCTGTTGGCTGTATATTTGGTACTCATCTGTTTTTTACGAAGCTTGCATTTGATTTTCGATAGTTTTGAATTTGTAAAAATTTGCTCCATTGCTTTAACAGTATATTGTTTCTGAATTATAGCCGAACTTGTCACGAAGCAAGCAATCTTCCCCGGGGATTCTGAGCTGCAGCAGCTCCTGCATATATTCAGGTTCACTAAAATGGTTTCCACTTCCCCATTACCAAAAATTTGCCAGACTACTTTCATTTTCAATCAGCCAAGTTCTTTTGCTTATGGATCATTGATGCAGGTTGTTGGGCACTCCAAATGAGGATGTGTGGCCAGGTGTAAGCAAACTCAAGGACTGGCATGAGTACCCCCAATGGAGTCCCCAAAGTTTGGCAAAGGCTGTTCCCAATTTGGACGAAATGGGGTTGGATCTGTTGTTGGTATGTTCGATTTTGCTTCACTCAAAATGTGCTACTTTATATAGGTTTTTTGTTAATCTACCTGGTGATGAATACTAGTTCTAAATATGTTGTTTATCCTTGCAGCAAATGTTGCAATACGATCCTGCTAAACGCATTTCAGCAAAGGCAGCTATGGAGCACCGTTACTTTGATGGTTTGAACAAGGATTCTCTCTGAGTAGGCACGATGAAGCATGCGTGGATCGGGATGGGTAACAGAGATGCGCTCTATAGTAGTACTGAGTTCTATTTGCTCTCCTCAAGCATATTTGCAGTTGTGTTTATAAATCTTTAGGTTCTATTAGAACAAGCATATTTGCTAATCCGTAGGATTCAACGATTCAACGATTCAACAATCTCAAGCATATTTCTATATTCAGTTGGAAGATGGGTATGCTTTACAGTTTTACATTCGAGCAATGAAAACTCACTGGCTTCTGCTCCGATCAGTCATTGTTACTGAAGCGGAAGCAATCGGTAGGTCCAAAGCCAATGTACCTAGCAAATACACATGATTACCCAAAGCCAATCAGTAGATTCTTTTCATTTCTTCTGCAAGACTACCATTACTTTCAATTGAGAAAATTCACTACTAGAAGAACACATATCATGTCAATTTCTGCTCAAGCAGATTTGCAGCTACAACTTACTATTGATTTGGCAAAGTGGAACATTGCTTCTAACGAATTGATGTAAAACTGATTCACAGCCGCGCCACAAGCCCATGAAGGCGGCAGACCAGAATGTAAGTGACAGTGAAGCGAAAGCAAAAGTTCACATACATTCTCTCCTGCCATATTTCAAATATCAATAAACAATACTTGAGAATAAACTTACATTTGTTGCGAAAAAGAGTGAGGGAGCGAACGAGCGAGCAACTGCTTTTGTTGCTAAACAAGAGAAGAGCAAGTGTACCTGTGCTCATCGCAGGTGGGAGTGAAAACTGAAGCAGAAGAAGAAACAGATACAATGGATCAGAGTGCACCAACCCAAATTTCAGTGCCCCTTTAACAACCAAGATGCCTATAAGATGCAGGGCAACATAACGAACAAGTAGGATGCCAACGACAAGAGATTGCTGAATCCCTGACCCTCTCAAACCTCAAACAACAAGGTGTAGTAAGTTGTAAACTAAACCAACAATTAAGTACGACGCTAACAGAATTTGTATGAGTTATTACCTTTTATTTGGTTTCCTCCTATTATCAATGTAAGAGCTGGGATGGCTCCGTCTCTGCAATCATAATTAGCTCATGTTGAGTGAACAACAAACGCTTTGTATAAAGAACACGCAAACCATCTCGTCTGTATATGTTTTGTAAAGTTGGGCATAAGTTTTAGTGTTTTATACCCCAACAAAGAAGCGGTATCTTGAATCACTCGTAGAGGAGCACCATCTCCGATCAGTAATTTTTGAATCTGAGGGATGACTCCGATTGCAAAACCAACAATCTACACCATGAAAAGATTAAGTTTGCCCATTTTTTCAATAATACTGCGCTGAATCTGGATCACAATGAAATAAAGTGCTGAAAGGACAAACCGCTCCAGTGGTTGAAGGGGCAAAATTGTTTTCAGATTGATCTTCTTAAGCACCATCACTATACGTTGCTTTAGTTTACCTGAAGTCAGTACCTGCCAATGAAAATGAAAAAGATACGCTCTATGTAAGAAACTGAAAAGAAATAGGGAACTTTCTCTCGTTAGAGATGTTTGTCATGTTACATTGTGAGATTGCAAATCTGGATCGTACATTCAAATGGGATTCATCTGGTAAGTAGTCTGGATTGACAATTTGACAATGAAACGACGTGTCTCTGTCTTTCAGAAGAAAAAAGAAAGAGAAATCTTAATAAGTTGGAAATACGTAAACAAATCAACAAATTTAATGAATATCGTTGTAATTTAATGGAGTCAGCAACCTTTACATTTTCTTCAGGTAAAGTGGTGTATGGTGGTGCATATTGATCCGGATTGTCCTCAACTATGCCATATTCCTTTGAAGAAAGCAGAGGCTTAGTGCAACTTACTTGGTCTGATGTAGAGGACCTCTCGGCGGACAGATTAGAACCTAGGGTGCTCCTTCTTGAAGATATCCACACAATATTATACACATAGGACCACAAATAAATGGCTTCTATCTGAAGCACGAACGCAATTGTATGCAAAAAAAGAATTAAAGACAGTAAACCATGACAGTTAACAAGGTAGCTACATTGCACTAAAGAGAAACAGTCCCTAGAATTCAAGAGGAAAACTGAAGGAAAAAAAAAAATGTGTCGAGAAAAACGTAATATACACAGCAATCGGTGTGCACACAAACACCTTTTTTCTGGGGGTAGTACAATATATATGTATGATTATATGTTTTAGACATGAGATTTTAATCGTGAGTTTAAATTGCAGTAACTGCGACTTTGCAACTTCA